TCCTGCTGAGGTTCAGGATAGGGTGCTCCTCTTCTCCCACCATTTGAGACAATACAGCTCCCAGTCCTACTTCGGAGGCATCCGTCTGCAAGATAAACTCCTTCTTAAAATCAGGGGCTATGAGAACTGGATTGCCACAGAGGGCATTCTTGAGATCTTTAAAAGCTTCTTCCGTTTCCATGGTCCACTTTACAATGTCGGGACCACGTGCTCTAGTCAGGTTGGTCAGAGGGCAGGCCCTGGAGGCAAAGTTGGGGATGAACCTGCGGTAATACCCAACCAACCCTAAGAATGCCCTGACCTGCTTTTTCCGGGTTGGTCGGGGCCAATTCTGTATTGCATCCACTTTGTTGAGCTAGGGCCTCACTACCCCCCTTCCCACGATATACCCGAGATATTTGGCCTCGGCCAGTCCAATCGTACACTTTGCGGGGTTCGCCGTAAGTCCTGCTCTTCTTAATGTCTCCAATACTGCCTCTACTTTTTCAATGTGTGTGTCCCAGTTAGGACTGTGGACAACAACATCATCCAAATAGGCAGCTGTGTACTTGGCATGGGGCCGCAACAGCTTGTCCATGAGCCTTTGAAACGTTGCAGGAGCCCCATGCAAACCAAAAGGGAGGACCGTGTATTGAAAGAGACCCTCCGGAGTTGAAAAGGCTGTCTTTTCTTTGGCCCCTGGTGCTAAGGGGATCTGCCAGTAACCCTTGGTCAAATCGAGGGTGGACAGAAATCGGGCCTTGCCCAGTTGGTCAATGAGTTCATCCACCCTTGGCATGGGATAGGCATCAAATTTGGATACTTCGTTTAATTTTCGAAAGTCATTGCAAAAGCGCCGGCTTCCATCTGGCTTGGGCACCATAACAATAGGGCTAGACCACTGGCTATGGGACTCTTCAATGACTCCGAGCTTCAGCATTTTCTCCACTTCAGCTTGGACCTCTTTTCGTTTTGCCTCAGGTATCCGGTATGGCTTAACGTGCACCTTCACCCCGGGGTCTGTGATGATGTCATGGTAAACCTCCGTAGTTCTACCCGATTCTGTCGAAAACACATCCTGATTCCTCTCAATCATGTCGGCTGCTTCGGCCTGTTGGTCTGTGTGCCAATTCCAGTACTGCCCTCCAGTGCTTTCGGGGTACCAAGAGTGAGCTCGGGAGATATTCCCACTTGCCTTGGTGGGTTTTCCCCTTGGGGTGGTGGCCCCAGCACAACCAAGGCCACTTCTCTGTCTCGCCAGGGTTTTAGCAGGTTGACATGATATACCTGCTCAGGCTTTCGCCGGCCAGGCTGGCGAACCTTATAGTTTACCTCTCCCACTGCTTCTATTATTTCATATGGCCCCTGCCATTGGGCTAGGAGCTTACTCTCCGCTGTCGGCACTAGCACCATCACCCGGTCTCCCACCTGGAACTTCCGGGCGGTTGCTCGCCGGTTGTAATAGACCTGTTGGGATTCCTGTGCCTTTTCTAGGTGCTCCCGCACTATGGGGGTGACTCTGGCTATCCTGTCCCTCATTTGGAGCACATGATCAACTACATTTCTCCCCAGGTTGGGCTGTTCCTCCCAGGCTTCCTTAGCAAGGTCTAGTATGCCCCGTGGGTTACGCCCATACAAAAGTTCAAACGGGGAGAAGCCAGTCGACGCTTGGGGAACCTCCCTTACTGCGAACATGAGGTAGGGTAGTAGCATATCCCAATCTTTGCCATCCCGGCTTACCACTTTCTTGAGCATACTTTTTAGTGTCCTGTTAAACCGTTCAACTAGACCATCGGTTTGAGGATGGTATACCGAGGTCCGCAGGGCCCGTATGCGGAGCAAGGTACACAAGTCTTTCATAAGCTTGGACACAAAGGGGGTCCCTTGGTCCGTTAGGATTTCTTTAGGAATCCCTACCCTAGAAAAGATTTGAATTAGTTCCTTAGCGATGGTCTTGGATAGGGTGTTGCGTAGGGGCACTGCCTCTGGGTATCGAGTAGCATAGTCCACTACAACTAGTATGCTCTGATGGCCCCGGGCAGACTTCTCTAGTGGGCCAACTATGTCCATAGCGATCCGTTCAAAGGGGATTTCAATTATTGGTAGGGGTACTAACGGGGCCCTCAGGTGTGGTCGGGGCCCATGTAGTTGGCACTCCGGGCAGGAAGCACAATACCTCTGGACTTCTACATAGATCCCAGGCCAAAAGAACCTCCGAAGAATGCGGTCCAGGGTCTTATCCACCCCTAGATGTCCTCCAAATAGATGACTGTGTGCCAATTCCAGTATTGCCCTCTGGTGCTTCCGGGGTACCAAGAGTTGCTCCACCTCTTGGCCCTGTATATGAACTACCCTATAAAGAAGATCCCCCTTGATTATATAGAAGGGCCCCGTGCCCTTGTTCCTCCCCTCCACTGGGACCCCATTAACTTCAACCACCTCCTTACGGATATTCTGATACAGTGGATCATTGGCTTGGTCCTGCCCAAAGGTCTCCCTTGGGGATTTCCCCTGCTTAGGCTCCAGAGAACCTAGCCCCCTTTCCTCTCTTGATGAGCTGGGTCCTGCTTCAGGC